ATCTGAAAGTTGCAACCAATATCTTTTTCAAAATACATATATAAATAGACTTAAATTCGATATTAAATACCGATGAAGTAAAACTGACCTTACTATTTTGCTATGCGCATTATTTTAAGATTTTGATTATGTTGTCAGTTCATTCAATAAAATTCAAGAGTATAACTTTTAGGTATATATGCTTATTCATTTAAATTAGAGTTCTATATTAATTTCTCTTAGATTGATGGTACCAAAATTTGGCTTGACAAGTTTTCAAATTTACATAAGGTAACTATATAAGAAACATGAGGAAGGGTTGTTAAAGATGTCTGCTATCTTCTTTTTAAGCATCTTCATTGTATTCACAGCCATGCTGTAAAATTAAAACAAGACCAAAATGAGAAAGATAATGAAGAAATAAATTTATATGCTAAAATAGAAAATAATGAAAAAAGTAAAATTAGTACACATTTACAAAACACCAACTGCCTAACAACACTTAAAATAAAAGTTCAAAATAATCACAATACTCATTTATATATAGTTTCACTATTATTTTATTACAATCATCCACTTTCATCAAGTCATACTACAAGCTTTCGTTCTATATCTAACAATACAAAAAAAACATTCTTCAAACTCTTTGATGCTGGACATAGCTCTGCAAGTGCATACAATACATATCTAGAAGAAATTCAACTGAAATATAATACTGATGAGATGATACTTGCAGATAGAGCAATATGTCTGCATAAATATGATATTTACAACCTTTATCAGAAGTTTCTTAATAAGTCTGTCAGTTTACAAAATAGAAAGAATATGTTTTTGCATTTAGCTATGGAAGTAGATAAGTTTAATGCTAGTGGTAAAGAAAATGCTTGAATGCAATCCTATATTGCACCAGTAGACAGTGATCCAGGACAACTATTTATATTAATTATTGTAATGAATCTTATAAAACGTTGTTATTCATTGCAACAAGATAGTGAATTGATCTATATTGATGCCACCTCTGGTCTTGATGCTCTTAATACTCTATTAACTATTATATCAACAAGTACACCTATCAGCGGCCTACCTCTTGCAACAATACTAACTTCAGATAAAACTGCATCTACTTTCACAAGGGCTTTGAATGTACTAAAAACTATATTGTCATCAGTGCATTTAGTAGACGTAGACCTATTGTTGATCCACAAGTTATAATGACTGATAATTCTAGTGCAGAAAGGAAAACATTATACTGCACCTGAGAAAAGGCAATCATATTACTATGTATTTTTCATTTTTTTCAGGCAATGTGGAAATAGTTATGGGAAGGAAAGCATAGTATTCATATGAGTAATCATATCATCCTTATTGAATATTTTAAAAAAATAGTTTTTGCAAAAAATGTAAATACACTTGAGATGGTATATATAGAACTTACAACAAGTAATATATATCTAAAATATCTCAACTTTCAGAGGCATTTTAAAGTTGTGTGAGATCGTCACAAGGAATGGGCTATTTCATTTCATCAGCAATTACCAATTTATGATAATAATACTAACAATTTTGCTGAAACTGGAATATATATTATAAAAGATGTTATCTTTAGATGCATACAAGCATTTAACATGGTGCAAATTTTTCATTTTATTATTAATACAATAAAATTATTTTATATCTGCAGGTTACTAACTATAGCTCACTATCAGGTAAACCATTTTATTACACTATGTTTTCATTTTTCTGGTTGGCAAATCAGATCTAAAGACGATATTAAAGTTGTAAATCTTAATTTGATATTGTTCAAACATAAAAGCAGTCAAAATCCAAATATATAATATCTGGTGGATATAAAGCTTGGAATGTGTAAGTGCAATTCAACAGATGCATCATGCAAACTAGTGATTCTGGTTGATGACCAAAAAAATCGGCCAAGCTGATTTTTCGACCCGGCTGGTCGATTTTTTGCAAAATCAGCTGGTCGATTTTGTAAGGAGATAGCTTTCTCAAATTGTGCATTATCAGCATTTCTTACATCGATTAGTTGATATTATACTATATCTGCCCGAAAAACTTTACTTATATCTTACAGTTCTTGGTAGCTCAACAGCCAATTTTTTAGCAACAATCGTAATATTAATATTAATAATGAATTTCACAAATACTGTAAATTGCCAATTAACATTACTTTGGCTGAACTAGTCAAGCTCGCATTAATTTATTAATATATATCATTCTACCAAATCAATCAAAATTTTTCAGCTAAGCTAACTAAGCCGATAAAATTCTATCGGCTTAGCCGGTCGAAAAATTTTGATCGGCCAGGATTACTAATGCAAACATCAATCTTCAATTGCAGTACATTATTGTATATGTAGCTTGAATCAAATACCCACCATGTCAGTAAACTGTCACTATTATTATGCTTATCTTGCTTTAGATAAAAAATGTCAAGAACTTGGCTTTTACACCAATCTTTATCAAACGCAGTTCAAACAACAAAAACCTACAAATACTAAATCTATAACAAGTATTAACAATAATCTGGACAATGAAACTATTAGTACAGATTATAATGCCAACTTTAATAATTCAAGTGAAAAAATTTACTTTCAAAAATTACAACTTTTGTATTCTCACAATTTTTAAGTAATATAATATAAGTGATAGTGAATATAGTCAAGATAATAACAGTGGTAATACAAATATAAGTAATAGTGAAGATAGTCAAGATAATTATAGTAGCAATACAAATAAAAATGATAATAAACTTTATCAATTAGCTATGAATGAATTTCATTGGTTTTGCAATGATCTTAAAGACCTTCTTAAAGAAAATGATCCTATATTAGACCAAAGTATGTGCAAATTTGTCAAAGTTTACAAGCAGCATCGATCTATGCAAGGTACTCATTTTCGGCCAGCAATTTCTTCTTTCCTTCAAACATGTAATTGGAATGTGAGCCGAGTTAATAATAAAAATTACCAACATGGTGGTAAAAAAATTAGAGTTCAAGTTATTACAGCTGCCAGATGCAGAAAAGGACCAAATTACAGGCTTAAAAAACTATGACAAGGAAGACTAAGAAGTAAAATTTGTAATAATATGTATAATACTGAAATACAAGAAGATTCAAATCGTTTTATTATGCCTCTACATAAAAAATGACAAAAAAAGCAAGCGCATGATTTGCAACAAGCTTTAAAGGAGAACTGACCAAATAGTATGAAATAAGAATATAAGAATAGTATGAAATAAGAATATAAAAAAAAAAAAAATTAGTTAAATAAATTTAAAATCAAAAAATTATGTGTTTTAATATTTAATATACAAAGTATTGTTTGATAAGCTTTCAGATTTTATGTATTGTGCTTAATTTGCTTTTTTATTAATAAGAAAATAAAATGAGTTACATAAGCTTAAGTTTTAATAATAACTTTAATTTACATATGCAGTTTGGTAAAACTCATATTCTTTGAATACATCGTATTCATCGTATTTATTAGGGGTTAAAATTAACAAAGCATGAAGGATACGAAAAGCAGTATTTCAAAAAATTGACGCGTATATACAGTGATGTCAATTTTTGCAGCAAACAATTTTTAAGGGCCGGCCAAATGGCCAACTGGCCAACGGCCAATGGCCAATGGCCAAAGTTCGGCCAAAAATTTCTAATATATATAATTTAGCCAATCATATTGCTAGTTTTTACTATATAAATATTTGGCCATTTTGGCCATTTGGCCGGCCAAATAACACTGCGTATATAGATATATTTGTCATGTGTGCATGTGCATGCATAAAATCGTTAGATGTTGTGCGACCATCATCACGTGATCACAAACCGGGCACAGATTATAATTTTGCTTTTCTGCCTAAAAAGGTTAAGCGATTGATTTCTATTTTAGACATTGTACAAGATTATTTTTCGCGGTTATTCATAATTTTTATAACGTATGGGCCAATTTGTATCACTATGCAGAAGAGGGAGTTCAATACCCTAAAACTTTTTGATGGTGAAATAGGTTATTTGACAATACAATTATCTGACAGACAGCTCACTAAACAATACAATTATCTGACAGACAGCTCACTAGACAATACAATTATCTGACAGACAGCTCACTAGACAATTAACTATATCATTTTTGAGGCGGAAGGTTTATTTTTAACACTACACAACAATGACAAATGGCATGTCTTAATAGGTTCAGGGTAATAATTAGACGATAATCTAATGGGTTTTAAGATAATCTAATGGGTTTGATGCATATTCGTGCAGAATGGACCCTCAATAAATAAAAACAATCGCTTTAATCATTCGTCAGACCAATCAAAAACATTAAATAAGGGGTTTAAACTAAATTTAGTGACTCTATACGGGGCCCAATTGCAACAAATTAGCCCATACGATTAAAGGGGAAGCGTTTCTTTATAGTAATAATAATGAAGACAAATAATTAATCCCTTTGCCTAAAAAGGCTAAGCGATTGGGTTTCATTTGTCTTGTATGCAATATTTTTTCGTGTAATTTTAATTAATAGTGTTCCTTTTTAATTAATCAATGAAACTACTTTATTATATATACAACTGCTGTTCGATAAGCGAAAAATATATTTAAGCGCTACTTAGCTTGCGCAGTGCTTCGCTGCTCTACTTTTTGCGCATCCGCTAGCGCTAAATAAAGAGTATTTCCTACAATCGGTTGAAATTCGTGAAACCCAAAACTACCAAAAAAAGCTATTCTGATGAAAACCAATTACCAAAAATAAATATCAATCCAACCGAATTATCTAAGAAAAGCAATCCAGAGTAACACAAAGCGCTAATGATTATTTCTAGGCGCTAATAATAAATAAAATAATAACTAACTAACTAACTAACTAATGATTATTTCTAGGCGCTAAAGAAAAGCAATCCAGAGTAACACAAAGCGCTAATGATTATTTCTAGGCGCTAACTAATAACAATAATAAACCCAAACATACTTTCTCTGTAAAAAATTTTTTAGTAGCGATATCCAATGTCTGACGAGCAATTCTATCCCGGCTATTCAGGCAAGTTTGGTGATAGCAAACATAAAAAGGCCAATATAGTAATCATGTTCGCTTTTGATAGCTTTAATCTCATATTTGAAAGGAAGTGACTCCAACTTTTGGTCATATAAGGAATTCTTAAAGAAAAACCGCGCTATAGTCTGTGAATCACCACCATTTACAAACGACTGGGCAGGACTCAACGGCAGGTGGTTTGAAAGATTTTTGCAAGCAGTAAAGTCCATGAATTTGCCTAACTCAACGTCGGTTATTGAAGAATTTGAAAAAAAGAACGTAAGCGACGTAAGTATGTTTGACCAAAGGGCGCCTCCTGACAGCTACTTCCTGACTCCGGGGGTATAGGCAATTTTCCCTAGCCCAAGTGATAGTGAAGGACAAATCCTGACAGCTATTTCCTGATTCCGGATCATGGGCAATTTTCCCCAGTCCTCATTATTTGCGACATGGTCTAGTTTTGCTTTTAAATTGTATTACATATTATTTTTGGCAGGATGTTCGTCCATACTGGGAGGATGTGATAGATGAACGCAAAAAGGCAGGTTAAAAAATTTTATTCATATATTTATTAATTCTTGCTAACTATCGACTGTTGTTATAGAACCGCATAAAAAGAACGATTCGATCCAAAACATTTGATATGTATCAAGGCGCAGTGGAGAATATTGGAGAAGAGATTGAGGATGATATCAAATCTCCAACAAAAAAGCTCAGGATGGATACAGGAAAGATACCGGAGCCAGCAGAAGTATATTTGTCATTTTGATTAAATTATTTCTATAAATCCATAAGATAATCTTAAAAATCTTGCTTTCCAGCAGTTGTGCGAAAAATCCTTTAAAATACTCTCGACAGGCTCATTTGTTGATCTAAGACAAGGCGGAGGTTTTTATTTAGATAAGACCCATTTCATCCCTATGATAGAGAATCTTAATGCTCGTGCAATTCTTTCCCTCCGACCGCGTCGTTTCGGAAAAACATTGTTTCTTTCTACTTTGCGTATTATAATATAAAGAACAGAGAACGATTCATACAATTATTTGGTGATTTGTATATTGGAAAAAATCCAACGCTACTGGCTACTTCATTTCTTATTCTCGAACTCAATTTTTCTGGGCTTCGAACTAACGAAACATACGAAATTTTTAATACTAATTTTCATACTGTTCTGAATATTCATATGTCGTGGTTTATGGAACAATATCAGCACGAATTGGGACGATATTTTCAAGTAATTGATGAAAATGCCGATGCCTTAGCAAATCTCCTGAGGTTATTAAAAGCGGTACAATCAAGTGGCCACAAAGTAATTTCTGCCTATTTAGTTATCATTTCTCCATAAAATAAGCACCAAACTTATATTTTTGTTTTTCAGCTCTATGTTTTTATTGATGAATATGACGCAAGTATGAATGAAGCTCTCAGAAACGAAACTATTTATCAAAATTTTACAAATCATCAAAAAAAGGAAAATGCCACCATTAAAAACAAAATCGAACTAATTGAAAGTTCGTTCAAACAGTTCTTTAGTTGTTTAAAAACAGCTTGTGATAAGGGTATTGCCTATGTTTTTCAGACTGGCGTGACCCCAATTGTCATGGCTGAATTTACTTCAGGTTTCAATATTTCTTCAGATTTGGCATTACTAGATGAATTTTGGGATCTGCATGGGTTTAAGAAATCTGAAGTTGAATTTCTCTTAGATAATATTTTCGGAAATAGTTTTTCATTCGATATTAAAAATGGAATAATGAAATGGCTAAAAGATGAATATGCTGGATATTATTTTAATCCTGATCAACAAGAAAGTATATTCCATACTGGTAGTATTCTATACAGTATTCAGATGTTAACTGGAAGAATGAAATATATAGAATATGGTCATGATGATTCAAGCATCATCCAAATGCTCCTTCGTTTTCCCTTTGATCCACATACATTACCCTCACAAACGACACTGGACTTGATCGTAAACAATCCTCTAGGCAAATATATACTTACTGAAGCGCTTAATAGACACCCTCTCGAATCAAAAAATGGCATAGAACAACGATTTCGACTCGTAAACATTCGTGAACTTACCACTGACCGTACTCCATTATTGTCATTCTTATTTTATACTGGTGCTCTTACCTATCAACCGAACACGCTACATTACAGTTTTCAGATTCCGAACCAAGTTTCAAAAAGAGAATTTGTAACAGAAGCTCTCAAAATTCATGATTGGAAACATGATGATTTAACATCTGTACGGCAATGTTTACAAATTTTGGAAGGAAATGGCGACATTAACCCATTATGTCGATTTGTTGAACAAGTACTACTTAAACCCTTGAAGGATAATAGCATTAAACACTCAAATGAGGAAGCGTTGAAACAGGCATTTTTGGATGCTTTAGTTCTCTCTCATTATGCAGATATTGAACCAGAGTTTCAGATCTATTTTCAGAGTAATTATTCATATGGAAGAGCAATTGATTTAGTGAAGACAAGCACTGGAAAAAGGATTGCAATCGAATTTGATAATATCAAGATGGAGTGTATCAAGTTGGATGGAGTTCGAGATAGTTGGCAAGAAGCGACTCGAATCTCCCTATCATTAATGACGAAATTAGAAGATGAAATTTTAAACCTTGAAATTAATGATCCATACCGGCTAAATCAAAAGACAATTCGTGAAGCTTTGGAATGGAAAATTAAAAAGAAATGCAATGAATATTTAGAGCCATTAAAAAAACGGTATGATGCGGAGTTAAAATGTATGTTTATTGTTTTGAGAGTAGGTTTGCATCGTCTAATTAGCAGGAGAGTTTATTGAGTTAATAATAATTTGTAGAATCACATTAATAAAATTTCACCCAATATGAGCTTGATTTTTAACTTTCTTATGCTGTATAATATGGGGTGTGCATGAGAAAAATTAATGTACTGTATATGCTGTTATTTAGATACGAAACGTCCTCGATCAGCATTGAAGAAGTTCGTTTTGATTGGCTAAAATTAGAATAAATATGATTGGCGACGATCATTTATTTATACAGTC